AAAAAAATAATATTTTTTATTATTAGGTAATTTCTTTCCGAATTTTCATAGGGTTTCGCTATTTAAACGTTGTAAGCCCTTTGACGCAACTCAGTTTTGGATGAAATAAAGTTTTTCCTTGAATTTTTCATGATTGAAATTCTTTTTGTGAGATTTTTGTCTTTCCTATAATCTTCCCTTGCATCAGACTAGCAATAGGATTAGAAGATTTTGTTTTCTCAGATTTTTGTTCTTTTATTTATTCACTTTAATGATATAGTCAACAAGGCCATATTTGTGATTTTTGTGTTACGATTTTAGAAACACTCTTACTTTAATGTCCTAGAATAGAAGGTTTTATATTATTTGTAGAAGTTCGAAAACCCAAATGCATATCTATTTGTGTAAACATCAATATGACTTAGTGCAAATAGTTAACGTGAGTAATATAATTCAGCTTCTAATTTCATGAATTCATATCTTGTTCTTACATTTCTGTATTCTCTTGCAGGTGTGGACCTTAGGTCATCTAAGGTTTGTGAACTGGGGCCGCTAAATTATAAAGCGAAGTATGTGTTATATCCATTTGAAAGTAAGAAGTATCGATGCCATTATGACTACTATTGGGCTTCTGTATTAAAGGTGATCGTTTACTTCTTGCACCATGTGCATATTATGATCTGCATTTGTCAGTGCAGTTCTTTCATGAATTAGCTGAATTTCAGCGAAATTGGATTCTCGGTTATGGCAATCATCTATCTTTGGTTAATAGTTATTAGATAACTTGAGTGTGAAAAGAGGGGAAATGACACATTTCAAATCTCTAACGAGTTGTGGAAAAACCAAATTTTGGCATTTATATCTCAATTTGATAGCACCTCTTAATGTTTCTAAGAACTTTATGCGAGAAAAAGAAAGTGATGGACCTTTATTAGAAGCTAATACAATCATTTTTTCTTTTCCTTTGCAGCTAGGGAAGATTTTTGTCTTAGAATTTTTTTCTTAATTTTTTAAGTCCTGAATTGGATATTCATAATTTACTTCTTCCATCTTCTTTTAATGGCTTGGTTTGAATTAACACAGAATTTTAGTTGAGAGTTGAAAGAGAGAGTATTTGATTCAATCTTTCACTTTTAGCCACTTAACTAATTGCCAATACCCTTATTTTGACAGGTTGAATATATAGATCATTCTGGGCAGGCAAGGCTGGCTGTGGCCGAGGCTCCAAATGAAGCTCTCCCTTCTAACTGCAGACCCAATTTTGGTGCTGCTTGGTTGGCCAAAGATAAATTTAAGGTTAGCAACAAAGCCTAGAGCCTTCGATGTAATGTGAAACAACTAGCAAGTGGTGTGGGGGATAGTTTACTTCTTCCATGATATCTCTATCCTTATTAGGACTATCAAATGTCCTTATTATCTTGCTTGTTCAGGTGAATGAAACGTATGAATGCTGGTATACGTTGGGCATTTCTAAAGTGAACATCAATCTTGATGGTTTATTCGATTGCAAAGCAAAGGAGCTCTCTACTGTTGAAATGCTTAGATGGTATTCCATTGTGTGAGTATTAAGCAATTGAATTTTTCTTTTTATGATCATTCTTATTTTTAGTGATTCAAGCTATGCATGATTTTATCTACAATGTAGCACTATTACCACGTTGGGATAAATTGCATAACAAAATCTTACGTAAAGCATCATACTCTAAAACTCTCCTAAGCCAAGCAGATGTTATTCCTTCTCACATTTGTTTTGTGCGTATTTCTCATGTACAAGCAAATTTATGAAGTTGACCCGCTGTATCCACCTGATTCACTATATCTTCTAACTAAAGTTTTGGTGCGGAAGCGTTTTAGAAATTCTTATAATAAGAATTATATAATAAATAAGAATGATATTTGAACAATCATGTCTTGTATATGTTGAATAATAATTGATTGTTGTTGA